TTTTTGAATTTGAAATTTTTTATTTTTTATTGTGGAATTTGATTTCAGGTCAAACGCAATACATATTAAAAAAAATTATAAAATCTACTGGAGAATAGCTAAATCCCAATATTTATTCTCATACACTTTGCATACATAAGATTGCATGCACAATGCAGCTCTATATATTGGTGTCAGTATACTATTATACTGCTATTTATTCACTATTAATTTTCCTGCCCTTGGTTCTTACCTGTGAAACAGGATGGATTTCACCAGAGTAACCACGTCCCGACTGGCGTTGTGACCCGCACACACACACGCCACATGAATCAACTGTGTGTGGAGAGAAAGGCCAACGTTTCAGATTGGACTGAAGAACATTAGCTTTGTTAAAGTACTCTTAAGATTTATTGTGTAGACTTTAAACATCATCTAACATGCAGCGGTCTTCCAGAAAAGAATCGTACACATACGCCACAGAATTATTTGAATATAGATTCAATAAATACAAAATATCAAACTACAGTGGCATCTGCCAACATGATGATGCCAGTACTTTCCACAGAACTAACTTTACTTTTCAGAGCCATTATTTAGCTTTAACCAAATATATTATCCTGTATTGTTTTATCATTTCAACCTATCAAACTTGTCTGTGTGAAATGTTTTGCTTGTCAATATGTCATCTAACCTCACACTTCTCTGCGGTGGGTGAGCGAGAACACTCGCTGTGATTGGCCCGTTCCTCGGCTGTGTTCTCCGCATCTTCTGGACCAGTGTCTGCTGATGCCACCCACTGCTGGTTGCCATAGTTACCCTCGACAGGCTGGGCAGCCAGGCCCTGCGATTGGCTCAGCTGGAGGCGGATCTGCCGGTTCTCTTCCTCCACCTCTCGAACCCGCGATGCCAGGACGTCCCGTTCCAGCAGTCGTGCTTCTGTAGATTCCACCAAGCATGCGGAGAGGAGCAGGGAACGCCCATCTGATACGGCACAACAGATTTAATTTAATTCGAGTGATCTTGACAGATTATACCCCAGAGATGGATGGATGAGGGGTAAGGAAATAGGAAGCTTGAGGTGAATTTGCAGAGAGACAATATACGTGAATGTCATTCGGATTCAAGACAGACTCCAAGAGTATCTCAATCTACACATTGCTCTCTGCTGGAATGATTAAAGTAGCAGAAAATTGGGTGTGATCAGGGAGAACAAAGTAACAGGCATTAAATTTATTGGAATGATTTGATAGATTTTCTTGCATTGCGCTCATGTATAAGCGAGTGCAAATCTCTCATCCCTGTTAACCAGAGTTGGGAACCATCTTACAGAGCGTAACCATGTCATTTCTCATCCATTATCCATTAGCATTCACATTCATCTCAGGCAGTTGGGCACAGGGCCCCTGGAAGTATGTTATATGTAATCTACATCTTTGCTTATGGCCCAACAATTCTGCCACAAGGTTATTTTGAGCCAATCACCTGAGCCGTAAATGCCATGTGATTAATGAATCTAGAGCCACAGGAAAATGGCATGCCCTGATTAGCTGACGACGCCACAAGAACAAACCATGTTGCTTCACTTGCATCTATGCTGAGCTGGGATGTCAAAGGCAGCATATGGAGAACGGTCCATTTCATGCTTTTATGAGCTCTCCAAAAACTATATAATCGATAATTATGAAGTTATTCTACAAAACCACTTTTATTAAAATAATGTATTATTAAAATAAGGTATATATATATATATATATACTTTTTTTTAATAAGTATACATTTCAGTTTCCCAAAAGCATTCTCAACAAAGTGCAGCCATTCTCAACAGACCCCCCCACTGTCCAATTGTGATTCATGAATCACAATTAATTCTGTGATTCCAGAAGTTTAAAGAACTGTACATTCTTCAATAAAACAGTTATAAATTTTTTGTTAGTTACTGATTTTAATTTAGATTATTTTACTATATACATTTGTTAATTTAATTACTTTTTAGTCATCCTGTGGCCCTATTGGAAATTTGCTGAGACCCCCAAGTGGGCCCCGGACCTCTAGTTAAGAAATACTGATGTAGTATCAAGACTTGAGCAAGACTAGCAGTGTCCAACTAAACTGTAAAAGGGCCAATGTTTTTACCTTAGTATAATCCTAGTATGAGTTACTATTTATAAAAATGGATAATTCCAGTCCTGAATTCTCATTGGTCAATATAATTTTACATCTATAATTATACAATATAGTTGTATAATTCAACTCTTCAACGCATAACTCTGATGTGAACAACTGGTTCAGCAAATCACTGATTATATCTTATACCACAAGGTTTCCAAAACTGGGATCATTATTAATAATTAATTAAATTAATAATTAATTAATAATAGTTTAAATCATAAAAATATAACATTAGAATAAATGAATAATTTTACAATAACAACAACCAAAATACAACATTTACTAAAAAAATATTAAATATGTGATTTGTCTGCATGTCATGTGACCATAAAACAACATCAGAGAACTTACTGAAATTACTGAAATACTAACTTAAATCGCAGAGAATATATTTTAGGTCAAAGGTCCCTGTTATAGCGGAAGGACGCCAATTTTAAATGAATTGGTTTAAGAAATAAACCATGAATATGTGGGTCATTAATATATTTTATTAGTAACGCTTTATAAAAGCAACCACTTCTATACAGGCCATGCTGCATTGTGAAGTCACAGCTGAAGCGGCTGCAGGCACTCATACCGTAATGCTTAAATATTAAATTGACTAGATATGGCACAATTCAGCCCGATGTATTAACACTTCAAGGCATTCTTCGAAAGAATCTTGCTTTAAAAACCTCCTCTCCAATGCACCTGTTTCAAACAATGGCCCACAAAATGCTTTTGAAGTGCAGAAACATATCTCCAAAAAAATTTCTAAAGGAAACGACAAGTCTTCTCTTAAACACTTTCATTCTTATAAATACGGATGATCATGTTCTGATAATCTTCCTTTCTGTGTGCTGCATAGCATCCTCTCTTCTGGAGGAGAGACAGAGGAAGAGGTAATTTGTTAGTACTGCACAGACCCATTGAGAATCTGAAGCTCCACACATTTGGAGCAGCTGTCATTCACAGAGCTCTGCTCTTCCGCTGCTCCATGCAGGTTTGTTTGTTCATTTTTTTGGGGATTCCATGCTTAAAATGCCTCCACTGCCTGACAGATATCACTGAGACAGATGACATGTGTATGTGACAGCCCTGGACTCTATAAATAAAAAAAGCAAGAAAATTAAGAAACACCCTCGGCCTGTCAGTCATTTATGGTTGATATTAGGAAAGTTGTGTTAACAGTGACGAATCCAAAGGGGGTTTACAGGTAACATAGAAAAATATTTTAAAGTTTCATCTAGGGGTGTGCGATTTTGAAAAAAAAAAAATCTCTCAATATTTTTGGGATATTCTCGATAACGATAATTAGACGATATTTTGCCGAGTGTGTTATTGTGCTGATATCTGACTACCATGGACAGCTGCAGTTTTTGATATTCTTCATTCTGTGTGGTCAGTTCACATCAGTGAACAGAAATTAATCTTTTCAAATATGTTTAAATTGATTTTTACCTTTTATAGGCATTTTTACCTTTAATAAAGCCATTTTTTTCTAAAAGTGTGCGTCTTTTGAGTCAAATTGTTACATTTAATCAGTCAATTGGAATAATAAGACATTTAGGCTGTTACCAAACAAATGAAACCAGTATCAACAAAATGAATCTTTGCAGAAGTTGCATCTGAAGTGGCATTTAGATGTATTTACGCTATTTAATTCAGCTCAGAGGGACATAGAGTGCTTTAACTTGAAGTTACAAATGCATAATGTTTTGATATTTTAAACATAAAACATTGAATACTGATGTTTGAAATTATTTAAAAAATGAAAAGATACTTTAAATGTAAAATTAAAACTGCCAGTAGGTGGCAGCAAGTCACTGTTAATAAGTGAGTCATTGCGGCTGAACCGAATCATTTAAACGGTTGATTCATTCAGGAACGAAACCCCGTCATGTTGCTCAGAGACGCAAAACTGTTCTGTTGTGGCTGTTTGGAATTATTTTTGGTTGGCGAAATAGAGCAAAAAAACAGGCAATATGGTGTCTAAAACATAAGTCTCTTAATATTAACTTATTGTTAATTGAACTGTTGTATAAAATCAGTATCACATTTGTAATCATGCTTATTTTTGAAGAAAAAACACGTGCACTGTTTAACCCACTAGACTTCATCACGTAATGTATGCGTGCACTCCATAGGTGTTTTGTTTGGTTTTTGCAAAATACTCGATAATGTCAAATTGCACATCGTTAAAACAACAATTACGATATTATCGCAGACGATATATATTGCACACGCCTTCATCGAACTGTGACTAAATTTACTGTACTTAATACTAAAATATACTAGCTTTTCCTCACACTGAGAAATAGAGCATACAAAGTGTCAAATGTGGTTTAAAATCAAAAAATGAAGGATTGCAGAAATGAGTACACCCTAGATTTAATTCAGAAAATGTATACTATTCTAGTACTTAGTATGTCCTCCAGAACTTAAAGTATACTGCTCTGACCCTTCTTGGCACTGAGTGTACAAGTTCATGACAAATTTTCACATCTGTGCTGTTTAACTCCTGGAGGACGACCTCCTTAAATGCCCTGGTCTTTAATGGGGAGTGTTGCTCAGCTCGTCTCTACAGAATCTCTCACAGCAGCTCAAGAGTGTTAAGATTGAGTGAAATACATGTCCACTGAAGGATTTTCACCTTGGGAGAATGAATATATTCATTGTCATGCTGAAACAATGCCCAATAATGCAGGGAATGATGGGAGGGTAGCATCTTCTGTTTCAAGTTGTTGTATTACATCACACAGTAGTGTGTGAATTCATGACAGCGTTGATAAAGTACAACTCCCTCACCCCTTCAGCACTCATACATCCCTATAGAAGAGCTTTACTACCACTGAACATCACTGTGGGTACCAAGCACGTCTCACTGTACTCCTCCTCAAGCAACACCAGAACATTTTGGATTATTATTATTATTATTAATATTATTATTATTATTATTATTATCAATGTTCAAAACAGTTTTTGTTGCTTAATAGATTTTTTGAAACTGTGATATTTTTTTTTTCAGGATTCTTTGATGAATAGAAAGCTCATTGAACAGCAATAAAAAAATATTAAGCAGCAAAAAAACGTTAATAATAAGAAATGTTTCTTCAGCAACAAATAAGCATATTAGAATGAATAAATAGATATTTAAAAAAAAAACATAAAAAACACTAAATTATTTCTTTCTTTTTTTTTTACCAGTAGTGTACGTTTCATAGAATATTTATGGCACAAAGGTGGTATAAATTTAATTATTACAAATAAATAGGAATAAGAATTACAAATAAATAGGCATAAGAATTACAAATTTAATTATTACAAATAAATAGGAATAAGAATTACAAATCCTGTGAATAACATAAGTATTTTACAGTGCATTCTACAAAAGTTTTATTTTTTTCAGGTAACTTTTAGATTATGCGTTTCTTGTGACAACATCAAATTAATAATTGATTCAAAAATATAATTTAATGTGACTACTGTATATCCATCTTAACAAATTTAGTCTACATCAAAGAAAGTATTTTTATGGGTTAGATAAGTAGAAATAGATCTTTGAAATCACCAAGCTGCAGTGTGTAATTTCTTCACTACTGAAATAATAAAAACACTCCCCTATCTGTCAATGGTCAAAGATAGATAGATAGATAGATAGATAGATAGATAATACTAAATATTGATTCAGTGTTGTTTTTCCATCTTTGTGCAGCATTGGGTCTGCATTAAAAGCATTACAGGGTTCCGGCCTCACTAAACTCCTGGCTTTCAGCTGTCCAGAGTAACTCTCTGTAAGCCTCTCTGCACGCCACTTTACGGCACGCATTCATGTCTGTGTTCACG